CTGGAGATGGACATAATTGCACAGGTATGTTTCTTCTCTGTATATAACAGCATATCTTATGATATTTTATGTCGAGAAGTGGGTGAGATTCATTGACTTCAGGCCAGCCTATGCAAACCTTATCAGCAAGGAAGTCAACAGGACAAACAAACAAGCAAACGACGGAGAAATAGTGTTTTCACAGCATGTTATTCCTGTGTAAGTTAATGGCGGTAACATTGCGTCAAGTGGTGTCAACGATTCTGCTGTACACATATATAATAATCCCTTGTGGAGAAAAGAAGGAGGGTAAAGTGTCTTGCCAATAGCATAACACGATGATGCAAAGCTGTAGAGGCCACAGAAGACGTAAAACTGTTTTAGCAGCATATCAAGTCCTAATGCAATCACGGTTCTTCTGATTTGAATCATTTGACCACCAATATTTGCATTCGATCGCACCTTTCAGATATCGACGAGTGTGCTACCGGAAGCCATACCTGTGAAAACAAACCGAATTCTGAGTGCAGTAATACCGAAGGATCATTCAAATGTCCTTATGCTTTTGGATACGAAAGCAACGACAATGGGCATACTTGTTCAGGTAAGCATTCTCCATCTTATTACATTGTAATAACCTTTCAATCCATTGGCTCTTGTTTAGTGAGGACTTCTTTCATTCGATTAGCCTTTCTTTCGTGTAGGTGGTTGTCCATTTACCCACGCTCGAGAAGGCCGTAGAAACCTGAAACGCAGTTTGAATACTGATTATTTTTGCCAACGGCTTTGCAGTCATCGACCCTAGCTATATCTTTTCGCGGTTTTCTATCGCGTCACGCACGGCGGACAAACCGAAAGAAGGGCTACTCGCAGTCTAACACAATATGCAAGCGTCAAATGTAACAAATCCTGTTACATTCGCAACTAGCAAAACTCGCCTAACAGTGTTTACAAAAGTAGTTTTATTATTTTCAGACATGAGTTTTATATCGGTCCAAACTGAGAGAAAGTTATTTGTTTACAATATGCAACTTAAACAACTGAACTTACAACAAAGCATGCAACTCAAGTGTCATTACTTAGGGACTGGCGGAATTAAAACAAAGAATTTATTTAAGTGTCTCACAGCATGGTTTCAAATCAGGAAGACTTTACAACCCCTATTGAAGATATCTCGCCGAAGCAACCTTAGAGTTTTTATAGAAAACCGGCGCGACGAAGGGTCCTACAACAAAGAGTCGCTTACCGCAATTTGGCACTGAGTTCGCTTCAGTGAGAATTTTCCAGGCAGAAACGTCCAGC